CACAGCTTTCTCCGATTTTTGTCATTTATTCTCGCTTATTTAGAGGCCTCTGAGCAATTTCCATGTGCTGTATGTGATACATTCTGAAGCATGCCAGGCATAAATATCAACCTTTTCTGTGAGGAAGCCATTTCCTGTGCTTTAACTGGTGGCAGCACATTGTGGAAAGGCGGCGTCAGCGATTGTGGCACCGTCGTCCTGAAGCGAAGGTGGGAACCAGATGGTGCTGGTGCAGCTCCGAGTTTCCAACTGGTGTCTGCAAACTCCTTATGGGACCGGTGCGGGGCACAAAAAGGCACCTCTTGGCATCAGCTTCACTTTGCCGAGCGACGTCTGTGGTTGTGCCAGAAAACGCTTAAGGAGCCTGCAGGGAGCCCCGGGGTGCCAGGGGAGGGAGCCCCGGGGTGCCGCGGGGGCCCACGTTGGGCACGAAAGCGAAAGGCGTTGGGGCTGGGCTGTTCTTGCCGGTGGGTAGTGCCACCTTTCACCGGGCAGGAACAGGGAGGGATTTGGTCAAATTCAACCATGTGTATTTAAAACAAACCAGGAAATTCGATCCAAAATAACTGTGTTTTCCCAAACGTCGGGTAACGGGTGCTCAGTGCGTTTCATACTCGAGGTCCAACGCTTTCCTCTAAGACAGTGGCACAAATAGTCTGGCACGCGGTTGCACTCTCACGAGCCAGCGTGGCCCAGCACTGACACAGCAGGGCACTGGCTCCAGCTGTGTCTGCTGTTGGCTGCACTGGGATGTGGTGGGATGGGCTGGATGGGAAGGATGGCAGTTGTGAGACGGGTGTGTGTCTTTAGCTTGTCCTTTCCCCTTACCGCACACTCGCTTTGATATCTCGTTGACACGTGACGTAGGATAACATGTGAGTGTAAATCAGACTGGGGTTTGGGGTATGTACGGGGTTTTTGGTGGGGAAAGAGGAAAGTGAAAGTCTTCCTTTTGTTTAAATAAATACAGTACGTCAGGCAAGCGGGTCTCAGGAACACTTGTAGTACGCTTGTGAAGGTGCCCCCCAGTTCAGCAGTGTTCATCTGTGTGTTTAAGGTGTATCCTCCATAACTGCACATCCTCTTTTCAACACCTTTGTGTCACCTGCTGGGAGCTGAGTCATTTGTTAGCGCGTTCCTTATTGTGTGCCGGATTGTGGATGAGGTTGATCTGCCCAGCAGCCTCGCTTTGCTTGCTGGGAGAGTCTAGAGATGCCATAAATATAACAGTGGGTTACTGGAAGAGGAATACTTTTGATAAGAATGGGAGACTGAGATGCAGCTGTCTGATTTTGCTACAAAGTTCCTGTGAAACCTGGCAAGGCATCCAGGCTCTTGATGGAGCAGTTCCGCATCTTGGAGGATGTTCTCTGTCTGCACAAGACCAGTGGGGGCTGTGCTCCCTGTGGGCTTCGGGGCACATCGGAAATACAGCAATGAGACCAAGGAGAAGGTGGGAGAGGGCGTTCGTGTCCAGGGTGGTGGTTAGATAGCACGCAGAAAGTGAGACAGGTAATAATAAACATCAAGAAGAGGGCGAAGGGCTGATTCAGCTCTGTCCACCTGTGTGGTGACTGAGTCACGGGAGGTGTTTGCTGACAAGTTGCAGATCATCGTAACGCTGACCTGTATGCTCAGAAAGTCCCTGAATTCCGATAAATTTGGCTTCCACACGTGGATGTGGTGATGGTGTGTGGGCACCAGGAGTGCAGAAGAGGTGGTACATGGGCAAATTGCAGTGTATTTAGAAATCGATCTCGTATCTGTGATTTTGCTGGAACTGATGACACGGAGGCTTCAAGGCATTGGTGTCATGGCTTGCAAAGCTGCGCTTAACTTCGCTGAATTCATTTACTTCGTCGGAAGTCACTGTTCCTCGGACCAGGACTGTGCCATCTAATTGTGTTTTGCCTTTATCAAAAGGAGGAACCAGTTAGAATTGTGTAGATAACAACTACTAAAATATGGCATAAAAATCTCAACCGAGTTTTGGGGTCTGAACTTTGTTCCTTTCCTGATTTTTTTTGTTTTTGAGGGGTGTTAACTGTTCATAAAATTTCCAGTTAACACTAATTATTGCAAAATTAGTTTTAATGTGTCCTTTTCGAAATTCTGAAGAGGATGAAGAAAAAATGCATTTATATTAAACTTTAGAGTTTAAAATAGATTTTCTGGCAATTTTTCACTGTTCATGTTTCTGGGAAAAGCAACTGCATATGTGCCATTGTAAAGAAGCTCAGCTAATTTAGCACACGGGCTGTTAATAGCGTGAAGTCGGGGTGCAGAGTATAAAGGTAAAATTCTCGCATCTGCTGTTACATGTTGTTAACTCCCTTAGCAGACGTTAAATCATTTCAAGTACAATAATAGTGTGGGAGGTAAATTAACTAACCATTAACAATCTTATAAATACACAATTAACATGCCAGCGTTTATATGACACGTTGATGGGGCAGCAGTAATTTCTGATGGGGAGTTTGCAGACCTTTCCCAAGCCCAAGGCAGTTGCTTATTTAAACCAGTTTGTGCTGCTCGCAGGTAAGAATGGCCTTTTCTAATGAGCAGCGTGTAAATAATTAAGTTCCAAGAACATTCTCAGGGCACTTTTTAAAATATCCCTACGCTGTGTACCCAGCTGGGTCTGTGTTCTCCAAGTCTCCCAGCACCAGTCGCACCGTTATGTCAGTTCCCAGCCCGGAGCCGGTTGCCTTGTGGTGGGATATCTGCTCACGGCCTCTCGCTTTGAGGACAATGAGAAGTCCTTCAGGGAGAGCAGGCCTACTTTCTGTGATGGAAATAGTCGGGAAGGAAAAAATAGAACTCGGAGTCACAGTGCTGCTGAGGGTGGGGGGACCCCTGGAGATCCTCTCCACCCTCCTGGCCCCCGGCACGGCTGGCTGGAGGGGCTGCTCAGGGCCGTGTCCCGTTGGGTTTGGAGTATCTCCCAGGCTGCTGCTGGAGCTTGTTTAGCTAATAGCGTGATGTATTAAAATGTATGCCAGGAGCAGTGTATTAATAACAAGCAGCGTGTCAGTTTTATTTTTCTGCTGTTCTTTTATTGAATTCCTTCTTGCTGCTGGGTCTGTTGTTTAATATAATACTTTTGAATTTGTCCGTTTTTTTTTTTTAAAGCAGAAAGGGTCCAGTCTCTCAGGAAAAAAAAAAAAAGCAATATTTGTGGCTAAGGGAGGAGAAAAAAGCCTAAAATGATGATGGATGTAAATATTGATTGAACGTTCTAATTAGCAGATGCTGATGTTTGGTGGTAGGGATGGTGGGTTTGCAATTTACAACGCACCTTCAAAATTTTGCTTTTGTCATGATTAGCCGAGTGTCCAAATAAAGTATTACTTTTGCTTTCAACTATTTAAATGCTGAGACTGCTTTGTGGGGCTGTGTGTGTTAACATACCTTTCCCCTTGGAAGCATACGGGGAAATGATGGGATGTGTTTGCTGGTTCTAGAAAAAAAAAGAAAGCTTTCGCTTTCTTCTGTTACCATCTGCCAGGAAAAGGCCGGCTGCCTTTACCAGATTTTCATGGGACACAGCTTTGTGTCATTTAAAATTGCTTCTATTCCTGTGGTATTTTCTTCTTCCTGACACAAGTTTTGTGAACAGCAACAACAGAGTTTTTTGTTGTTTCTATGTTCAAAATACTAAATAAAGATGTTTAGTTCTATAGCTGGTGTTAAAACGTTGAGGGTTTTTCTCAGATGCACAAGTGATTGGAAAAGCAGTGGGGATTTTGAACTTCTGGAATGTGCATCTCTCTGTGAGCTCAGATGTGAAACCCACCAGCCTCCCTCTTCCTCGGGCTGAGGGCCAGCCGTTGCTCCGAGCCCGCGGTGGGCACCGCTGCTGGAAGGGGAACCTGGGCTCCCCTCTGCGCTTGCTGGTCCTGCTGCCTGTTGTGTTGGTGCTGGTGCTCTTGCAGCTCCTCACTGCCAGACTGATCAGCCTGAAAATTAAGAGGTTTTTTTCTTTTCAGGTTATTTTCAGCAGGTTGTTTTTTTGATCCAGCTCACCTCACAGCTGCCCCAGTCCTGGTGCCAGCCTTTGGGAGGTCTGGCCGGGGCCCGACGGGAGCACAGAGTTGCCCCTTTTGGAGGCAGCCCGGACCTGAATCACATTAACATAACTGTAAATCCGCAGCTACAGTAAAATAAGACAACACTTTAATTGTGGTTTGGGTTTGGCTTTGGGGTTTTGTCTTTTTTCTGTTCTTTTTTTGCCCTCTACATTGCTTTGTAAGGCTGCTTGAGTCCTCTGAATGAAATATTTTAGGTAAGTGGCAATTACTGTTGTTGAAGTGCTTAAAAATCCAGGTGTGTGGGATATGATGATAGAGCTTTTTCCGTATTACAGTGGTTGCCCTGTATGAAGTCCCGTGCGCAGCAGCAGATGTTCAATATTCTACCCTGAGGTACTAATCTCTTCATGGTTAAAGTTTTTCCTGGAAATAGGAAACCTGAAGAGAGTCTATAATAAAGTAATCAGAGTCGGTGTGCCGAGGCAGAAGAAAGACAGTAGCATGCTATTATGATGGGTAAAAAGAAATTCACACCCCTCTCTGGTTTTGTAAATTTATTGATTTGAATAGACGGATGTTTCTTTTGTGTATTTTCGCTCTGTCCTTCTATGTGTAGCACTTAGCATATTTTGCCTTGTAGCAACCATTTGTTGCAGAGTAAGGGGACCTGTCTGGAGGTATCTGCTTTGTTCTGTGGTCTTGGGATTGAGGTTTCAAGCTGTCCTCCAAACCCACTGTTCTTTAAGTGAATCTCAGCAAGCAGTGTAAGTTAAACTGGAGCACAAGTAAAATAATTCACTGTACATAACTGAGTCAGGTTTTGTGCATCCAAAATGCAAACCTTCTTGAGTCAGGGTTTTGAGTTTTTCGTGGTCTAAAATGCTGTGCACATTGTATTTCTAGGTACATGTGTCCATGGAACAAGATGGAGAGAAGATAGTATCGTGACGTGGTGGACTGGTGGCCAGAATGGCTTTCCTGGACAACCCAACAATTATACTTGCTCATATTCGGCAGTCGCACGTGACCAGTGATGACACAGGGATGTGTGAAATGGTCCTGATAGATCATGATGTTGACCTCGAGAAGTTTAATCCCTCATCAGCATATGGGGACAGTGGTTCAGAAACACAGGGAAGCAATGGTGAGACTCAGGGCTATGTATATTCCCAATCAGTCGATATTACCTCAAGCTGGGACTTTGGAATCAGAAGACGATCAAACACAGGTAAGTGATGTTTGCAGCCAAGGTGACATTGGCCTTTAAAATTCAGTTCCTGTTAGCCTGGCTTGCACGGACAAATCGGAGCGTGACTAGCTAGATATCTGTCAAACTTTTCCTTTTGTCGTGTCGAGACCCTTTTTATAAAATGATATGTAACGATTCAGTTACTGCAGTGTGCTGTCAACCGAGTTTTAATTGCTGTTTTACTTACTCATATACAGAGGAACATTGAGGTAGTCAGTTTTATATATAAAAAAAAAAAAGAATTGTGAAGCTATCAAGTCTGAATCCCAAGTACGTGAACAGTCTTTGATTTTTTTCTATTGTTAATGTCTGGAGGGGTGTTAACTTTTGAACAGAATAGTTATTTTCTGAGAAAAATCTGCCTAGTGAGGCATCAAATCTATTTGATATAAGAGAGAGGAATGGAGTTTGATGTGAGCCAAGCGAGTGAGTGATTTGTCTATATTTTGTCTTCTGAAGTTTTATTTCTGAGGAAAAACCTTGAACTAGGATTTAAGTTACCAAATTAGGAAGCTCAAGAGTGTACACCTCTTCAAAACTTGCTGTTTGTCTTAACCGGAAGAAGGCCATCCCGTTTGGTGTTTGCTGTGAGGGATGTTCAGACTGCTGCTCGTATCCAGGGAATGCTGTGAACAAAAATTCTGTGATCCAAAATATGTATGAAAAGGTTTGTGTGGGTGGTCAGTGCTTATCTCTTTATTTCTGTGTTACAATGTACTGTTTTTTCCAATGATTTCTGAAGGTATTACACCACCTAGAGCTCAGAAAAAACATCTGTACTCTACCTACCAAGTAAAACGCTGTATGGTATTGAGTATCGTGAAATTCCTTTTGCAAATAAGTGCTTGTCACAAGTTACAGCAGAGACAGGGCAGATCTCCTGTGAGGGAGGACTGGGTTTGGAAATAAGCTGAATGTGTAACTGCGACTGACTTGAAGGCATGATGGGATGTTCAGCGTGCCAGCCTGCCTGGCGGTGTCCTCGAGGTCTGGTTTAGTTCCGTCGGTGGTATAGTTCATGAGAAGAGAGGCCAAGTGTGGTTTTATATAACTGCTCTGAAAAAGAATTCCGAAGGATTCCTTCACCAAGGGAGCAGACTGATAGAGTAATCTCCATTTAAATTACAGATTGAGACCATTTCAGCTTCCAAGTGGTGGCTTATTCTAAAATAATGCTTAGGACACTCAGTCCATCGGGGAGCCAGGATTTTGCCCCTTTTCCTCTGGTCTTTAAGTTCCATTGTGTGTACTGGTCCCACCAGGAGCCTGATGCAATTATCAAGGCAGGCAGGCTGTGATTTGCACCAGAATGAGGTGGGAAAAGCCTACAAAGAATGCAAGTCGATCAGTACTGAACTCTTTTCAAAAACACAGGAAGAGGAATAATAAATAGTAATAAATAGTAATAATAAATAGTAATAAATAGTAATAAACACTTTTTGCATTACACAAGTACCTGTTCTTGATGGAAGAAAACAGACTCATATGTACTGTATGTAGAATATAGTGTTCGAACATCTCCTAAGTACATAAACTCCTTAACTGTGAAATGGGCAATTTTTGCTCCTAAAATGGGCAAGCCTAAGGGCATTTCTTTTTTACTTAATCCATAACTGCCTGGATTTAGCAAGAGCAGGAACATTTGTTCTTTGAAAAGCAGAATAACAGGTTTTAGATTTGGAAAGAGAAGATGTGTAATTTTGTGTATCAAGAGGTGATAGTGGATGACTTTTTTAACATACAAGGTTGTCGTTGTTCTCCTTGGGTTTTTACCCTAGTAAATAAAATGATTTCTGCTTATGCCGTCTTTAGCCATTGTTTTTGGGTGGAGTGTAACGTTTTATTGTCTTTTGCAAAGCTATTTTATTATGAAGTACCTTACCAGGACAGTGTCTTTCTCATAAATTGTAGAAATAATGCGTTACTGTAGAAGACTACAGAAGTGTTGGTTGTTTGATAGTTCTCATGTGCAAATTTGGAAATTAATTTTATGTGCAGTCTAATATCCAAGTTATTCCCTTAACCTTGGAAGGGATGTGCAGCGGGCAAGACGTCAGGGTATTGCACATTGTGTTTGGGGAGAGCACAGGGGTTGTCTGCACTGGGTTCTCACTCCTTTCCTGCAGGAGTTAGGTGGGTCATAGGTGGTTTTGGGGCTCCATCTCCTCACCACCTGCTTTCTGCCACATCCAGAGGGGTAAAAAAAAAACCTAAAGTGGAGACAGGTCTGTGCAGGGTGTTGGTGTATGGGAAAGCAGCAAGTTCTCCCAGTCCACATGGCGCGAAACAAAGGCTCATCTGGTTGCTAATAGTTAATGAAACAAGAACTACATTTGGTCAGTGACATTTTTCACACAGAAAGCTTTCGAACTAACATGCTGCTTGTGGGAATGAGTCTTAAATAATTCAGGCTTCTAATAGGTACTGATAATTCCATCTAATTTGGAGTTGCTGTGGCGCAATCCCACAGCACATGGTCATTTGTGATCAACTGCAGATAGAAGAATAGGGTGGAGTTAGTGGAGGTGGTGACTGTGCTTTAGCACCTTTGTTTTGGCAAGGAATGAAAATATCAAATAGGATAAAAACATTTCTATTCTAAGTGGATTTTTCTGTATCCGTTATTTGCATATGAATCTAAGAAATATTGGGTGATGGCTCATTTGGAAAGAAAGGGGTTTAGAAGGTAACTTTGAGCTACAGCCTGGACAGTAATTTGAAAAAAAAAAAAAGATTTTTCTTTCAGAATAAAATCTCTATGCTGCAATAGTGTTTTACCCAATATTTAAACTTACAAGAGGGGATACATCTTCTCTTATTTCGTTAAGAGTGAGCTACATAGAGGTATTTGGGCACTGACCTCGTGTTGACTCAAATGGAAGTTGGCATCCAAGTCCCCGTTTGTGTTTGTACCTCGAGCTGCTTGTTGCAGCTGTGAAACCTCCAAGTGTTACTGTTTTCATCAGTTCCCAGGCGAGAGTTTTTATGGGGACAAAAAAATTCACTTCGATGTCCACAATTCAGTTCAAAGACTAAAGGTAAAAAAATAATAATAGGGTAATAGAAAATATTTATTAACTTTTTTAATTGATGAAACAACTCCGAGAAACTCAGATTGTATCTAAAAATTGTCAGTGTAATTTGGCATTTTAGAATCTCTTCTACAAACTCATTTTAGCTAATGAATGATCTCAATACATCAAAATTGCTAATAAATCCAGCAAATTGTTTCCTTCAGTGATCAACATTATTAGTCGTACTTTCCAGTGGAATCTGCTTTCTTATTTTGAGTGGACATTTCGGCAGATCATTTATGTCTGGTGGTCATTGCCTTGGGTGGCTCCTACCAGGCATAGCCGACCGTGTCCGGAGAGGGATCGTGCTGGTAATAAAGAGAGAATTTAAGGAATTACTCTGGTACCCTGGCCTGTGATAGTATTTGAGGCTTTTTTCAAACTGCATTTTGAAGATGGAGTCAAAATATATGTAAAGAAATATTATATTCATTTTAGGATTTGACTAATGTTGTGAAGATACAAATCATTTATTTTACTACCTATAAACTGTTTCAGCACACTGAAGAAAAAGCTATGCTAATTTATATAGCTTTGACATTTTATAATTTTCATGATTTTTAGATAAAGGATTTTATATTTAAAACTTTAATAGTCTAGTCTGAGTTCATTTATCTTTAATTTTTGAAACGGGTAGAGTAATTCATAACAGTAATTTTATTCCTGTAATGTAATATTCACTTCAGTTCATTTGTGCATTAAAATTCCTTTAAGACCGTTATTAATGATTTATATAATGAAATGTCATATTAATCACAGAAGTTTTCACATTTTATTATTCTCTTCCATGTTAATACTATCTTTATGATCTCTATTAATGTTTTATATCCTCTAATTTCAATTATAAATCAAGAACATTTTCATGTTTTTGTTGGTATTTGCTTTTCAGGGGTGCCACCTTTAAAATTTTATGACTTTTTCCCCTACATATGCAGTATAAAACATCTTTATTCATATAAAGGTAGTTAATTATGTCTTTGTTTATAGTAAACTTTCATTGACAAACTTATAGTTATAATATTTCTTTTCAAGCTCAGAGACTAGAACGTCTGCGGAAAGAGAGACAAAACCAAATAAAATGCAAAAATGTTCAGTGGAAAGACAGAAATACTTCTTACTCAGGTAAAAAGAAAACATCTTCTATTTTCCTACTGTTTTTATTTCTGCTTTTGATGGTTTCAACATTTGCAGTTTGTAATTTCCAGTGAAGCTTTCAAAGCAGGGAGGAAATGCTAATTATTGTGTTTGCCTCCCGTTCCCGCTCCGTGGTTCCCGGGGGTTGTTGCTGGGGGGCTGTGCCACAGGCTCCTCTGCGTTCAGCTGCGACGAGGCGTTCGTGGTGTTAATGAAGGCAAAGTAAAGAAAAACTGTGTAAAACCTCTGAACTAATTGGAGCAGCTGCTTCGCTTTTGCCATCCGAGGTATTAATACAGTATTTGTGTGTTCTGTCATCTCGGAGCATCGTTATCTCCGAAGGCTTCTGTCGCCGTAACGAGCGAGGGACGGCGATGGCAAAGCTGTTAGTGCTTCTGCCAGGTGGGTAAGGACGGGCACCTCTGTGCCCTGTGAGTCCGGGACTGGCACGTGTCTGCATTCCAAATGCAGGATCGTTATCTCCGTGGAAGTTATGGCTTTCTCCCTGTTTCCAGTGGTGTTTGGGGTACCGGATGTGGTGAAGAATTTCAGAGTTAATTTTATAGGATTTTTTTGTGGCTACTTTTCTAGATAAGGGGGAAATCTCAAGAAATAATGTGTATATATGATCTACTTAAATGAAAGCGTAATAAATGCTGCCTTAGCTTATCTACCCTTTCATTGGAAAATTATCATCACTGATTTTTAATTATATAAACAAATTTTTCTGACTAAATGTTCTGCATAGTTTAAACTGCAATATATGAAATGAAAAATCTATCAATTCTCTCATTTTATAGCTCAAGCTAGTATCTATTCCAGTTGTATTTGACACACATTCAAACCTTTGCATGCTTTGTCATGCCTACTTCTTTCAAAATTTGTGTACATCTTAATGAGGTCCCTGCGTAATCTCCTTTTTTTGCCTAAATCCTTGTATCTTCTTGGCTGTCATTTGCAGACCCTTCTCCAGCTCTATAATATTTTTATTTTTTAGAGGAGTGAACAAAGCTGCTCACATGAGCAACACGGTTGCACTAAGCCTTAGTGCAGTGTTCAGCTGTGTTTGATACCTCTGTTAATGCATTCTACAATGTTTTTGCCTTTCTACTTCTGTGAGCAGAGTTGTAGGTTTTAAAGTTTAATCTACCATAACCTCCAACTCTTTGCTCAATATTTTATAGCATTTGACCACTGATGATGCAATTCTTTTTTTCTCCTTTATCCCTAACTGTATACTCCGTGATATTTCTTTACACTGAGTTGCACTCAGACTCCAGTTTCCTGATGGGTCTGTGCTGGTTGTGGTTTTCTTACGCATGTGGGCCCCACCGTGACGTTTAGTTCCTTTTACGTGCTGCCCTGAAGACAGACACAATCTGTCAGCCAGCAGTGACGGAGGTGTCCCCCTCTGCAAGGATGTGCTGGGGTTGCAGCCAAGTAGATCAGTCCCTCCCTGCTGCAGAACAGATTTAAATAAAAAATAAGTACGTTACGTAAAAACGCCACGCACTTGGTATCTGCCCCTATTGGCAGAGCTGATTTTCCTCTGCGTGTTTCTCACTTACTCGCACGAGGAACAGAGCAGTAGGAAGAGGCCAGGAAAAAGAGGAGCCCTAAAGGGTGTATCCACTGGGCCTGCCCCTCGTCACGAGTGCGCGTGTGAGATTTGTCTGTTCTGTTCCTGGAGTTCAGAGTTATTGGAAAATACGTACGAAGGTAAAAACAGAAATACCTGTTCTCAGCCGGGGGGGTTGGCTGCTGCCTTCTGGCTGTGTTTATCTGGGCTTTAGACAAAGTCGAGCCTATAGCTGGCACCACGCAAACGGAAAGGGTGCTGGGAAGTTGTTTCTTCTCCAAGCCCGACACCACCACTTCCAGAGGTCACCTGTCAGAGAGGTGCCTTCCTGAGAGAGCAGCTCTCCGAAGCGTTTCCACCAGCCTGCAGGTGGCTATGGAGCCATAATTTGAGGCGTTTGGCAATTGAGTATTTTTTGCGATTCCCATTTTTAATTACTATGTACAGAAATAAAAGTAAACTCACCAGGATAAAGGAAAGTGAGAGATGAGTAATTTTGTGTATGGTAATGAGAGGAAAAAGAAGAATATTTTCTACTCATCATCTGTTTGCCCGCTGTCGTGAGACAAGCCTCTTGCCTTGTCCGGAGTGGGTCTGGACGATAAGGTGGTAGTAGTGTATGGGCTTGGAAAAGAACATCTCCATGCCTTTGGAGTTGGTTTGGGGATTAACAAACATAAAGATGCTTCAAGAGTAGGTGACTGACTGCAACAGTAACACACTGGAGGTCTGGTTTTGTGTTCTTCTGTGCCACCAATTCACATCACCTTTCTGTGCATCAGTTCTTTTCCAGTAGAATGAAAAGAACATTCCAGCCTCGTGCAGGGTAAAGATCGAAACGTGTTCGTGAAGCGACCTGTGGGTGCCACAAACCAGACATGCATACACGTACAAAAGGTTACTCTTTACTTTTATGTAATGCCAGGTATTTTTAAATGAAAGCAAGAAATAAAGCACTGTATTTACATCTTGTATGCATTCATTTCCGAGCATATAAAATGTAAATTAACAATATACCAAGGGAATCTCTCCAAAGCCTTGTATTCAGCCTGTATAGAGGAGCTCGTATAGCAAACAAATACACATAATATAGACTAACAGCAAAACTTAGTTTTAATTCAGAATTAAAAATTATGCAATTAAAGCTAGTTTAATGTAAAAATATGGGAGATTTTTTTTCCCCTGAAATTTGAAAATTTAACATATTTTTTTCAATGTTTTTAATTGGAACTCTCACAGCCCGAGTCTATCAGGAATTATTTGACAAAGTGCTCAATGGAAGACCTATCTTCTACCTTTTCGCACAAATCTTTATAAGGTTTTGGATGCCTCTTCCTAAATGAGTTGAATTTTTTGAAATTGTGAAGTTTTCTGGAAAAGGAAAACTGTATCAGCCAGCTGAATTTACAGTTGTATGGAATGTACTATTGTTTAAACTCTTCAGTCGTGGGAGATTTGACTCGAGTAAAAGCTGAACAAAACTTGGAGCAAAACAGATGTCACACTAATGAGTGCAGAATTCCTGAGATCCTCTTCTTGCACATCCCAACAAAGGAAACGATAAACAAATATTAGCATTTCGCGAGAGACAAAACTTGAAGATAAGACTTGCTTTTTCACTTGGACTAGTAAAACCGTTATGTTGAATTCCAAGGTACAAAACACTTTGCAAATGCCCAGGAGATACCAGTTAAGGGTAATACTCCAGCATAACTGTAATTGAGGGGTTTTTAAAAAACAGAGATAAGCTTGTTACAAAACCCAGAACACCGAACGGAGTTTAAGTTGCCACATTTGAAAGGGATTTAATCGAGCTTTTTTGGTTCATCGCAGCCTCTCACAAGACTGTTGGGTATCTTAGTGCCAGTATTTAGCACTTTTGCCAACTGTCTGAATTTTCAGACAATCTGCTGATAGAAATAAACGGCGCTTTTGACTAGTTATAATTTGACAAGTTTTAATTTTGCGTTTTAAGAAATTAACCAGCTCCCTGCAGATCAAGTCCCAGTGGTTCTGCCTTAGGAGGAGTTTCATTTCCCCGGAGAAGCAACATGTAAATCTTTGAGGTGTGAGAGAATCCAAAAGCAGGAACGCCGAGCAGAGGCAGTCTCGGAGCTGCTGTTGGTTCTCAGGTAGTGATTGATGGAGTCTGGGGGTCCTTGGGTCCTAGAGCAGATGTGGGAAAAACTCGTCCAGATTCAGTCACAGTTTCTTGCAGATGAGACCCGTTGGTACTAATATGCCAAAACACCCCAGGCTCTGTCCTGGTTTTGTCGTGTCCCTTATAACATAAGAAGCCCTGATTTTTAAATTTAAGTATGCCTGTAAATTTTGAGTTAAACTGTTGCTGGAAATTCAGCTCTGCAGTCTCTTCATATAAAAAGAGCTGCTTGTTGGAGGCTTTTATGAGCCTTCACAGAGCACACAAAGAGCTCACCAACTCTTTTCACCTTTGCTTTTAGAAAGCTTTTTTTTTATTATTTTCCAGACTGTTTATCTGGGATGGTGTTTTCAAGTGACGTTTTTTTGAGAGGAGACCATATCCAGTCTACCATGAGAAGTAAAATCCAAATAAATTATTCTTTTGGATGAGATGTAGTCCCAAGCCTACTGCTGATGGCATAGTGATGTAATATAGTAACGGGGTGGTATAATACTGTCCTGCAATATGGCATAATATCGTGTCGTACCAGCTCAGCTTGAAATGCTTTTGCATGGCGTGTTGTAGATGTGTGAACGCTTCTTTTACACAGCATTTACTAGTCATTTAGGAAAAGGTAGGCAAGCAGAAAGACCAG